AGGCAAGATAAAAGAGAAGAAGTTGTTCCACTTTTCTTGTGACAGTCATTATATGATTTAACAAATGCATAAATATTCTTAGTTAAACAACAATATGAATCACGAACAGAAAAGATTGTTCCGTCCATTATCTGATTAAGAGAACTGATAAATTCTTCTAGGTTGAAATGACCTGTCATGGCCTAAATAGAGTTCAGTGTGTGACAGAGTTCCTGTCCTCTCAGTAGGCCTGTCCGAGGCCTGCTTTGAGGCAGTAAATCTTGTTTCTTCACTCGAGGTTACCCCTACACAGTTCTGCCTCTTGGTGTAGGATTATTTTATATATAGTCTTGATTTACTCTTAGCTACCACCAAACCAAATTTCACCTCAATATGTCTAAAAATGGTTGAGTTGTTGCAGTTTTAAATTAGCTCTGGCGGCCATCTTTAATTTTTATTTATCATTCAGAGTTTGTTGAAGCTTGTTCCTGGCTACTACTGTACCAGTTTTYATCATTATAAGTCCTAAATTGTCTGAATTAGAGCCTTTTTTATTAGCGTTAGTGGTTATGGAATGGTATGGTTAGTGGGGATGGATATAAAATATATACAAGCAGAGGCCTCCTAAGTGGACCCATTGCTGTCCCCATAAAGACATMTATCCATGCATCCRTCTTCTTCAGCTTATCCGTAGTCTGGTCACGGAGGCAACAGGTCCAAGAGAGAAGCCCAGACATCCCTCTCCCCAGCGACACTTTCCAGCWCATCCTAGGGAACCCCGAGGCGTTCCCAGCCCAGAGAGGATWCATAGTYCCTCCAGCKTGTCCTGGGTCTTCCCCAGGACCTCCTCCCAGTGGGATGTGCCTGGAACACCTCTAAAGGGAGGCGTCCAGGAGGCATCCTAATCAGATGCCCGWACMACCTCAACTGACTCTTCTCGATGTGGAGGAGCAGCGGCTCTACTCTGAGCCCCCCTGGATGACGGAGTTCCTCACCCTTTCTCTAAGGCTGAGCCCAGCCACCCTACGAAGAAGCTCATTTTGGCAGCCAGTATCCAGGATCTTGTTCTTTCGGTCATGATCCACACCTCATGACCCCAGGAGAGGGTTGGAATGAAGACAGACCAGTAAATCGAGAGCTTTGCCTTTTGACTCAGCTCTTTCTTCACCATGACTGACCGAAGCAATGCCCCCATTACTGAGGATAAGGCCCCAATCTGTCGATCCATCTTCGGCTCCATCCTACCATCACTCATGAATAAGATACCCAGGTACTGAAACTCCTCCACTTGAGGCAAAGACTCTCCTCCGACCCGGAGGGGGCATTCCACCTTTTTCCAGTTGAGAACCATGGCCTCAGACTTAGAGGAACTGGCTTTCATCCCAGCCACTTCACACTCGGCTGCGAACCACCCCAGTGCATGCTGAAGGTCTTGGTTTGAAGACGCCAACAGAACCACATCATCTGCTTACAGCAGAGACGAGGCCCTGTGGTTCCCAAACCAGACACTGTCCTCTCCACGACTGCACTTTGAGATCCTGTCCATAAACACTACAAACAGGATCAGAGACAAGAGACATCCCTGGCGGAGTCCAACACGCGCTGAGAACAAGCTCAACTTTGTGCCAAGAATGCAAATACAGCTCCTGCTTTGGTTATACAGGGACTGGATTGCTCTTAGTAGCAACCCAGACACTCCATACTCCTGCAGCACCCCCCACAGAGTGCCTCAAGGAACACGGTCATAAGCCTTCTCCAAGTCCAAAAAACACATATAGACCAGAGAAGCAAACTCCCATGACTCCCTTAGCAACTCTGCAAGGGTAAAGATCTGGTCCACTGTTCCACGTCCACGACGAAAGCCACACGGCTTCTCTTGAATCTGAGGTTCAACAATCAATTGGAGCCTCCATTCCAACACGCTGGAGTAAACTTTCTCGGTGAGGGTGCGAAGTGTGATCCCACGACAGTTAGAACAAACTCTCCGGTCCCCTTTTTAAAAATGGGAACCACCACCCCGTTCTGCCACTCCACAGGAGTTGTCCCAGTCCTCCATGACGTTGAAGAGATGTGTCAACCATGACAGCCCCACAACATCCAGAGTCTTCAGCATCTCTTCAGCAAATCTCATCCACCCCTGGCGCCCTGCCACCAAGGAGCTTTTTGACTACCTCGGTGACCACTGCCATGGTAATGGACTTCACCTTCTTCAGACTCTGCCTCCTCAAAGATGGAAATGGATGGTGGATTCAGGAGATCCTCAAAGTGTTCCTTCCACTGCCCAATGATATCCTGAGTCCTGGTCAGCAGCTCCCCACCCAAACCAAGTACAGCCTGGGACAGGAAACGCTTTCCTTTTCTGAGTCGTCGAACGGTTTGCCAGAACCTCCTCGAGGCCAACCGAAAGTCCTTCTCCATGGCCTCCCCGAATTCCTCCCACGCCCGAGTTTTTGCATCTGCAACAACGGAAGCTGCAACCCTCTTTGCCACCCTGTACCTGTCAGCTGCTTCAGGAGTCCTCTGGGAAAGCCAAGTCCTGAAGTTCTCCTTCTTTAGCCTGACGGCCTCCATCACCGCTGGTGTCCACCAGTGGGTCATTTGGTTGCCACCGCGACAGGCACTGATGACCTTCAGGCCACAACTCCTGGAAGCTGCATTTGCAATGGAGGCCCTAAACATGGCCCATTCATATTCCATGTCCCCTACCTCCCCCGGGACATGGAAAAACTCTCCCTARGTGTGAGTTGAAGATCATACGGACAGGGGACTCTGCCAAASGTTCCCAGTTCACCCTCACTATACGTTTGAATTTACCAGGTCTGTCCAGCAGCCTCCCCTGCCACCGGATCCAACTCACCACCAGGTGGTGATCAGTTGACAGCTCTGCCCCTCTTTTCACTCAAGTGTCCAAGACATAGGTCTGCAGGTCCAATGACACGATTACAAAATCGTTCATTGACCTTTGGCCTAAGGTGGCCTGGTACCAAGTACACTTATGGACCACCCTATGCTCAAACGTGGTGTTGGTTATGGACAACCCGTGCCAACAACAGAACACTGTTTGGGTTCAGATYAGGGAGGCCGTTCCTCCCAATCACCCCCTTCCAGATAACTTTGTCATTGCCTACCTGGGCATTGAAGTCACCCAGCAGAACGAGGGAGTCTCCTGATGGGACCCCTTCCAGGACACCATCCAAGGACTCCAAAAAGGCCAGGTAATCTGAACTGATGTTTGGT